AAATATTGTTTTTTAAGAAAATTGTTTATTGGTACCACTGTGAAAAATTATTTCTCGAAAGAATGTGAATTTTTTTTTTAAATTAGTTTATAATAAATTAATAATTAATTATTGCAAAATGGACCGTGCAGTTATTATTTTCATGCGACTAAATACTCGACTAAAATAAAAAACACTTTAAAATTGGTCCACAATTACCGGATATTGCAAAATTTTCGGGCAGTTAAGATTTGAAGTCTCGGAACGTTTCTGTCTTATTTTCCCCACCACATTCTAGATGTAAAAATGTATTTGAGGACGTTTTTCAAAGGGTTAAAAATTACTATAAAATGCATTTTTTTCGATATCTTTAACCGTTATTAACAAGTTATGTTTAAAAAAAAAAACGCTATCTAAAAATGGTCCTAGAACAATTTTTTTTTAAATTCATGAAAAATTTCTAGGATTACGAATGTCAAAGCGGCATTAAAAAATATTAATTCCACGCAGTTATTAATGAAAAACCTTATAAACAAATTACACTATTTGTTTATATGCCGTTTTGAGGAGGTTAGTCTATGAAATTGCAATTTCCAATTCCATATCTTGGAAATATAAGTCGAGACGAAACAAATGAGCCCTCATAAGGCCCTTTATTATAACGCTAACTGCATTTTTGCAATTGTAAAAATGCTATTTCTAATAAACAAATGCAAAAACTCGTAAACAAATACATATTTCTTTACCAAATTTTCAGGGTTTCTTAAGTTACTTTTACTGCAGTTTAGAGACGATTTATGCTATGCTCTTTTTTTCTATTTATAGCAAATTCAAATTTCGCTGGTTTTTTGCAATTATTTAAACAAATTGTTAATGGATTTTAATTTAGCAGGTCTCAAATGAAGCATTTTTTGGAAACCTAAAAGTATAAACAAAAGCAAAAACTCCTGATGGAGAACGCTTTTTAATACAGCTAAAAAACTCCATTTTTGGTAATTTTTTTCAATCTGAAACGATTTTTTTATAATTTTTTTTCATTTACTGGGCTATTGTACAAAAAATATTATTTGTGATAAAGAAACTAAATTAAAAAGAATCATCATTTGGCAAAAAGTTTCGTCAAGAAAATATTGATCATGGTGAAACAATATGACCTACCAAATATAATTTTTATAAATGGACACCCTGTATATTTTTTTATTATATCAATTTTAACAATAAAAAAACAGTCAAATATTTAATTTCTGATAATGATAGCATAATAGTCCAACTTTACTTGGATCGTTTTCATAAAGAAAAAATGAAAACAATGGCACGACTATGATATTAGGTACTATTAAGGATGTAGTACAATTAAAAAAAAAAAACATTGTCGCCTCGCAAGGTACCCAACAAAGTTATTTATCTAACCAAATCGGGGCATAAGAGCTGGTGTCTTTCCTCTCCGAGTATCTTTAGCACTAGTTTAAGCACGAAAAGTCTTAACTAGTGACTCTAAGACTCGGGTATATTTCACGACAACGCAAATCGCGACAAACTACATTTTAAAATATGTATTAAAGGTTACCTGCTTCATATTTCTGGGCATCGTTTTCAGCCCGGAGTGGGCAAGAACGTCACCACTCGATTTCAAGGCGTTAGTTAATTCAACTAAGTGGCCTTTAAGATATACAAGAAATCATAAGAAAGTTTCTATTACCGGATGTGCCTCTGCCTAATTAACACCCTGGCGTGATGGATGGACTTGGCAAGCCCCAATTTGAACACCTGGGTTTGCAGGCGACGCTCCAAGAAATCCTCGATTTTCAGACCCAGTACATAATCGAGCTTCATCCTGTTCTCGTCCAATACACCGATACGGACCAGACNAAAAAAACATCTTATTCATTCATTGTCTAGCTAAAATGCTGCCTTTATTCGATGTAGCTCTCTATGGATTAAAAAGGCATTAAAAGCTGGGCTAATGACCGCCTATTACGGTAGGTCAAGATTTATTCTGGATAAACCATTGTCGGTCTGCGGTCAGGAGCGGTCCCAAAAGGGGTTTAAATAATGATTTGAAAATATTTTTTTCAGCGTACCTACCTACTTAGATATGCATTTTAAATTCTTTCAATCGCATATTCTTCTTTTACTCATATTTTCCGATCCTCCCTTAAAATTAATGACTTTATGACTGAATCACCCTGTCATATCTTAACCCAAAATGAACTTACATCTCTCAGCAGCTCCCTCCTGATAGCGGCCTCGTCGGGCTCGCTGGCCAAGTCCGTGTGGTCGGTGTCGTAGTGATCCGGGTCGTTTCCGGGAAAAGAGGCGAAGGAGCCGGTGATAGTCGCTATGTGGCCGGGTTCGATACCGGACTCCTCAGATTGCGCGTGTGCTAGTGAAGTGGTGAGGAATTGCGTGGTAGATGGCGACAGGCGGTGGGGCCATGCGGAATGCGAGAGCATAACTCGTAGAGGCCTGTAATGATTGCAGAGGTAGCTGGAAATAAAACAAGATGTAATGCTGGTTGCATAAGATACAAGCATATGTTTTCTTTGCACCTCTATAGGGTTCTTTTATTTGTTCTTGTTTTACTGCATGTATGTCTTGTTTCGTAGAAAGCTTTATTGCTTCTTATTGTCAATTTCCAAGAAATGCACGTTTTACAGATGTATGGAAACGGACTATTTAATTTCAGAAAACATCATTTCAGTTTTATCTTAGGAAATTTAATTTCAGGAAGCGTTATTTGTATATTAAACTAATAACTCTACTTCAGAAAACTACAATAATTATATTTTAGAAAGTGTAATTTGGTTTCAAAAAACATCTATCGAATTTCAGAACGCATCAAACATTTTTCGGATAGGTACCTAGGTAGAATTAATTATTAATTTTTTCAAATGACTTACAGAATTAATTATTGCTACATATTATTGTCTGACAGTCAATTGTATTCAAAGCAACCGTCATGTCAATGGAAAAATTATTTTTCAGTATACAATCCTAAAAATGAATGTTTGGGATCTAAAAATCTGCGCGCATGTCGGCAAAAAGTCACTTTTTTTTATTAAACGGTAAAATAACGGTAGTAATATTACAAGTGAGAATAAATTCAAAATAATTTGATAGTTTTTCTAAACTTTGGTACCATGCTATATAGACACGATAGCACGAAAGGCTTGAATGGTTTATTGCCGAATGTCAACATATTTGAGAAAAATTCTAGAGTATAAATTTCCTAATTTATTGAACCCTTATGTGGTATTCGATATAAGTATTATTTTTGGACTTTACAATTAGAAACACTTCTTCATTCTTATATTTTTATTTCATATAAGGTCACTGAACTCACTTTAAAGAAAATAAATTATCAATAATAAGCTGCATTAAAGTTCTGAACATGAAAAATAACATTATTATAAATGTTGTGTCCCTGAGTGGGGGATTTTGCAACATTGTTTATTTGCGTCAATTAGTTATTGCTTCCTCCAATTAAATTCGAATGATGTTGATTATCAGACTGTATTAGGTTTCAATGAATTAGAACTCTATGTTTCAATGAATGAGCTGTTTTAGTAAAATGTTACGGTGTATCCGTCCTATAATTTCGGCGCTTATGTTTATCCCAATGGGCATATCTCCACCACCTTGGGGAAAATAATTTATCCAAAGCAATGTTTACTTTTAGAAGAAGCTTGTTAATTTTATTGTTTGCAGACCGCTTACTTAGTAATTTCTAGGATAAATTTTTATTAATTTGGAATTAACCTTGCATTGTTTTCGAAATTATTGAGTTTTACTCCGTTAAAGATTGGGAACTCTCAATTCTCTCCACCATGTTACTTCCTAGTAATCCTAGTTCTATGAGGCAAAATAATATATCTTCTGCAAACTAGCCAGAGCCTTCTTAGAAGTGTAGAGCTTTGCTTTTCCTCTTCAGGTTCATTTTTATAACTTACGCTTGTGTTTTTAGCATCTCTCACGGATTTAAATTCGATGTCTTTAAATCTGGTGAATCATCTGTTAAAGTTACATTTATTATAGTACATACATAATTGCATTAATTTAGCAGGTTTGTTCCACACTGTTTTAATAATGGTTTCTTTTTAAAATTTCCCATTATATTTTTTTCATATTAAATCCATAGACCTCTAAATTGTCTAAACAGTTTTGTTGCTGGTGTATTGATGTACTAAACAGTTTTGTATTCATATTGGAAATTTTCATGACGGAAGTCAACAAAAATAGGTATATTGTAATTCAATAAAGCAAAATACAAAAGCAAACTATTTATTACTACTATTTAGGTATAATGCTTTGGCTGGCTAGAAAGTACATATTATGTATACAAGACTGAATTTAATTATATTCCTTTGGAAACAACAATCACAACACAAAACAAAATGTCATGAAAAATTAAATGGCGCATTGAAAAACCGGCAGGAATTATTTAAAATTTCTCATCCCGTAAAAAATCTGCGTTTTAAAGATTTAAAAAAAAATTGAAAATTATTTCTAAAAATATCTGGTAAAACGTTGTAGGACACTATTAACAGTTCTCTATTAAAATAACCATTAAGAAATTATAAATGAGACTACTTGCCCATACATACAAATCTTTTTCAAGATTTTTTTTTTATTTGTAAAAATGAACGTTTAGTTACATTGTACTGTTTGGAGAACTATTAATTAAGATAATGAATAAGGACTAACATTCATTAAGTACATTATGATAGAACACTAATTTGCTGTATTTTATGTAAAAGAGGAAGCTAATACAGGTACCTAATCAAAGCTCAAGCAATTTGATTTTAGAAAGTGTAGAAAGAAATTTAGGAGGCAAACAATGAAAAGAAATTTTAATCCAAGGGAAATAATAAAAGAATTTTAAATAGAAAATATACAGGGGCAGTTTTAATTAGTTAAATGTAACAGAAATTTCTTGTAGCTAAAACCATTAATTGTATATGTATATATCTATCTCAATACCAAAAAAAAAATAAAGTGTAATAATTTTATTAATTTTTTCAATTTTTCAAAATCCATCATAATGAGAATAAAATTAACAAGATATAAATGCTATACTTATTAAACAGTAACAAAACTATAACGTAATAAATGTTTCAAAATGTCACCCAATTTTGAATCACATTTAACCCTTTGAAAACTATAATTTTTCTGAGTACCTAATGATTGGATAATACACATTCTGGCTTTGTAAAATGAAATTCTAGAATTTGTATATTTGAGAACTTGAAATATTTCTTGACATAAATTGCTTGCAATTAATTAATATAATCGGCAATGTAAAGAAAAAAAATAGTAAAATGTAAGTCTATTATTTCTGACACGCGCTTGAAAATTTTTAAAAAATCCGGATGGGCGGTGAAAATATAAGATTACTTTCTCGGTGTTTATATTATAAACGATCATCCACTTAAAAGAGATCTTACTAACTCTTAACAGATTTTTTTTGATATCATATACTTACCCATATTGTTAAAAAACTAATGCAGTTTTACTTAGCAAAAATTCCTATTTTATTAAAAGGTCCTTAAGTAGGTATAAAGGTTACGACACTAGCTAATGTACATCAATTTAACTTGAAATATTTTAATAAGGTGTAGTTCGCTACAAGCGAATTTTACAATCCAATGTCTAAAAATAGACCGATAGTTTTAGGCGTTGCTTTTGAAAATTATTTCGTGGCAATGTTATTATTTATCAGACACTCACCTTTGCGATTCCTGAATTTAATGCAATCGAACTGTTTAAGCTCTCTGCCCTTCGCACAGTCAAATTTGAAAAAATTTAACGTAAAGTCTAAGACATTTAACTCAGACGGACACTTCGCCAACTCGCAAGTAAACAATAAAACTAAAAACAAGAAAATCACGAAATAATAACAAAAACACGACCACCTTCTCCCTCGCCAAACCCAACTGTCGGTATTTTCACTTTTCCCCTACACGTTTTAACCCCAACTTCACTCCATGTACCGCGCGTCAAACTCGCGTATAAACACATACAACAAAAGCCAGCGCTAAAGTTATAAATAGCCTATTTCGATTATTGCAATCGGCGGTAAGCATGGTTTGAATTTTTTAAGCCCTGAAAGAAAATTGTTATTTGACACGACACTCGTGTCTTCAGAACTTATCATTGGACGAATCGAATTCAGCGGTTTTCATCGATTTTTCAGTAGTTGTAGCCCTGCTATGTAGTTAGGAATGTATTCCATTAGAGAAGGGCAATAATGAAGTGGGTTGCTGGGTACAATGACTCACTGCAACTAATACCTACAAGCATAGGCTTGCGGTTATGTAAGTCACAAGGGAGTTTTTGAGGGGTTGAAAGTAGTTCCACTTAGGTATATTTTTCAGTGTTATTTGATATTATTTTACGAACATTTATTAAATTAGCAGCAGATAATTTTAAATTATCTAAATAAAATATTAGTTCTACCGTCGATTCTGTGTGTGTACTTGTACCATTGGAGAATCTTAGAAATTTGAGTTATTTTTTTGCAATTTACGTCCGTTTTTATATTTGTCTAATAATTTTACACAATTTATATTTCAAATAAAATTTGTCATTATTTACAAACTCTGTTTCAATTGAAATACACCTTTCAAAATGTTTTTCTTTTTGTGACAAGAGAGCCTTTCGATTTGGCAAAAATATTATCTATTAGTAGCTAATAGCAACTTAGAGTTACTCTGAACTGATATTAGTTACTAATAGGTACTATTTTTGTCAAAACGAAAGCCCCCAAGATTAGGTGAGGTGCACAAACCTACCTGTGCTGTGATTGGGTTGTATAGTTAGTAGTACTGTAGGTATAGACCAATAGGAAGCCGAGGCGGGAAAAAATATTAAAAAAATTGTATTTGGATAATTCCCGACGACCTCCATATAAGAATACATACCATTAAGATTACGTACAATGATAAATTTTGAATAAGAAAAGAATGAGCTAGTTTAAAATCAATTTCAATTTAAATGGTGTATATTGCATCATAAATGATAATAGAAGCTGAAAAAGTTCAACTTACAGAAATAACCAGGAAATAATTTTTTAATTGACCTGTCAGGGTTCTTAAAAAAACAAGTTGCCGAAGAAAAGCTACTATGTACATTTACTATTATTTGAACTTTGTGTCATTTTTTTTTATATTAAATTTTAGATTTCGTTTTTAGTAAAGGGTTCATAATTCAAAAGTAATATAGAATTCCGACTTATAAAAAAAAATCCTGGTCACTTCTAGTTCATTTTTACATACTAATTAAACTTTTTCTGGATTGGAGTCGTCAGTGGGCTCCATAATCAAAACCACATATAGTTTTCTTTCAAGAACCCAGGGCTTTCACAAAATTTCCACTTGCAAACATCAAATTTAGCGACTTTCATAAAAACTTAAAATTCCCCGTTTTTTATGAAGAATGACTCAACTTTTCCAGGCCTGTAATAACAGCTTGTCCTTCCACTTGCTCTTGGATACTAAAAAATCCATTTACTTTTTTATACATAAATCAATATTAGGGCCAGATTAAGCGAGGGCTACAAGGGCTGTAGCCCTGGATCTCGGCAAGATTTTGCCAAAATGAATTTAACTTTTTTTTTGGTTTAAATTTTGAAATGTTATATCAAGTTTCTGATCACCTGTTTTTGATTTTTTTAGAGCCTGCATAGGGCTCATAGCCCCAAGCCTCACCATACATTAACCCAGCCCTAACCATGATCCATTTTCATCGATACAACGCTTGATCGCAGTTAATCTGTTTATCTAAAACTAAGCAGCGGAGAACATAATAAACACTACCAACGATTATTTTGACTTTCCGATGTTAGTTTAATTCTTATTTCAACTATAAACATTCACTTTATAACAATAAAAAACGAGTTCTCTATAAATAATGTTTTATTATTTATACATTTTTATAACCAGTTGTAGTAATTATTATACAACCAAAAAAAGTTCTAAGCCTAATCCTCCTCTTCTTCGGCAGCAGCGCCTCCGGTTCCCTTACGCAAGTTCTTCCTCTTAACACGGCCAGGCCTGCCACCGCCGAAGGGCGACTTCAGGGAGAAATCGATGTGTTTTTGAGAGTCCAGACGCACAATGAAGGAGGGGATGTTCACAACTTGCTTACGAACGCTGCAAAAGAAAAAACAGTACGTAAATATTTGTGAAATCGTTTTTATAATACTAATATTTTTATTTAAATTAATAACCAAGATAATCAATTGGATTTGTAAAGCAGGAAAATTACTAAAGCAGCATTCCCATTGTTATGTGAAAATAAGGACTAGTTTCCTTAAAATTTGTAATTTTATGACAATTGTATTGCATTGAGATTATAAACAAATCTTTGTTTTATAAAATTATCTACTTTTAATATGTGGATAGGTATACATCACTTATTTAAGTGAAACAAATTTGTTTTAAAATAATTTTTGCAGTTTTATAAAACGTAGGTAAAAATAAATAAAAATACTAATCTTATCAACTTATACAAATTTATCAAAATGATTTTCATCTATTAAACTCTAGGAAAGTAAAAAAGAATTCTGCATTAGTAAAAACAATAAACAATTTTTGTGTTGCAATTTGCAATATTTACAATTTAAACATTTATTTTAATGGATAACTAAAATTTAATATATACGGTACGTATTTGATATTTTCATTTTTTTTGTTTTTCAAAAATTTTTGAGGGTACCTAAAATATGTAGAGGTAATTTAGGTACAGTTAAACTCGGTTATAGCGAGCATTCATGGGAACGCAAAATTTGCTCATTATAGACGTCGCCGTCGCCAACTATGCTGAAAATTATTGAACACATAATTATAGCTGCATTGCACTTGTATTTTTATTTTCAAACATATAATATTATTTATCTACATAACATAGATACGTATAACTGTAGGTAAGTTACATTACATAGCATTTATTATTAACGAAAAAATTCTGTAATATTTTTCTGCACCACTCTTTTGCTTAATATCTCCTGACTGATATTTCTTTGCAACCGATCAGCGGCATTTAAGAACTGCTCGTTTTCCGGATATTTGAATTCGACGTATGATACTATGGTTTTTAACGCAGAGATGGCTTCATGTGTCGAAGGAACTGTAACCTCATCGCTTCCCGTCTCTTCTTCATCACTTTCTTCATCTATTGATGGGTTAATCGCTAATTGTGTGATTTGAATTTCATTTGGGAATTCAGCCACTTCGAGATTTTCGTCTACCATGTCGTACTGAACTAAGTCAAAGACGTCAAAATCGGATATGTTGTTATTTCTACTAGTCATAACAAGTTTTTGCGTTCATTTGATGTCATGTGCGTAAAAACTGGTTCTACGATAACTCGTTATAGCCGAGATCACTGTTGCGCGGGACCAAAATCAAAGCTCGTAATAGCCAAGCCCTCGTTATATACGAGTTCGTTATAGCCGAACAAAAATACACGTGTTACATAGGGAATTCGGAAGGGACATTTCAATTTGCTCGTTATAACCAAGTGCTCGTTATATCCCCTGCTCGTTATAAGCGAGTTCAACTGTATATTAAAATAAACTTTATATCATTTCCTGAATTTTTTTACATAAAAATATTGTTTTTTAAGAAAATTGTTTATTGGTACCACTGTGAAAAATTATTTCTCGAAAGAATGTGAATTTTTTTTTTAAATTAGTTTATAATAAATTAATAATTAATTATTGCAAAATGGACCGTGCAGTTATTATTTTCATGCGACTAAATACTCGACTAAAATAAAAAACACTTTAAAATTGGTCCACAATTACCGGATATTGCAAAATTTTCGGGCAGTTAAGATTTGAAGTCTCGGAACGTTTCTGTCTTATTTTCCCCACCACATTCTAGATGTAAAAATGTATTTGAGGACGTTTTTCAAAGGGTTAAAAATTACTATAAAATGCATTTTTTTCGATATCTTTAACCGTTATTAACAAGTTATGTTTAAAAAAAAAAAACGCTATCTAAAAATGGTCCTAGAACAATTTTTTTTTAAATTCATGAAAAATTTCTAGGATTACGAATGTCAAAGCGGCATTAAAAAATATTAATTCCACGCAGTTATTAATGAAAAACCTTATAAACAAATTACACTATTTGTTTATATGCCGTTTTGAGGAGGTTAGTCTATGAAATTGCAATTTCCAATTCCATATCTTGGAAATATAAGTCGAGACGAAACAAATGAGCCCTCATAAGGCCCTTTATTATAACGCTAACTGCATTTTTGCAATTGTAAAAATGCTATTTCTAATAAACAAATGCAAAAACTCGTAAACAAATACATATTTCTTTACCAAATTTTCAGGGTTTCTTAAGTTACTTTTACTGCAGTTTAGAGACGATTTATGCTATGCTCTTTTTTTCTATTTATAGCAAATTCAAATTTCGCTGGTTTTGTGCAATTATTTAAACAAATTGTTAATGGATTTTAATTTAGCAGGTCTCAAATGAAGCATTTTTTGGAAACTTAAAAGTATAAACAAAAGCAAAAACTCCTGATGGAGAATGCTTTTTAATACAGCTAAAAAACTCCATTTTTGGTCATTTTTTTCAATCTGAAACGATTTTTGTATAATTGTTTTTCATTTACTGGTCTATTGTACAAAAAATATTATTTGTGATAAAGAAACTGATTAAAAAGAATCATCATTTGGCAAAAAGTTTCGTCAAGAAAATATTGATCATGGTGAAACAATATGACCTACCAAATATAATTTTTATAAATGGACACCCTGTATATTTTTTTATTATATCAATTTTAACAATAAAAAAACAGTCAAATATTTAATTTCTGATAATGATAGCATAATAGTCCAACTTTACTTGGATCGTTTTCATAAAGAAAAAATGAAAACAATGGCACGACTATGATATTAGGTACTATTAAGGATGTAGTACAATTAAAAAAAAAAAACATTGTCGCCTCGCAAGGTACCCAACAAAGTTATTTATCTAACCAAATCGGGGCATAAGAGCTGGTGTCTTTCCTCTCCGAGTATCTTTAGCACTAGTTTAAGCACGAAAAGTCTTAACTAGTGACTCTAAGACTCGGGTATATTTCACGACAACGCAAATCGCGACAAACTACATTTTAAAATATGTATTAAAGGTTACCTGCTTCATATTTCTGGGCATCGTTTTCAGCCCGGAGTGGGCAAGAACGTCACCACTCGATTTCAAGGCGTTAGTTAATTCAACTAAGTGGCCTTTGAGATATACAAGAAATCATAAGAAAGTTTCTATTACCGGATGTGCCTCTGCCTAATTAACACCCTGGCGTGATGGATGGACTTGGCAAGCCCCAATTTGAACACCTGGGTTTGCAGGCGACGCTCCAAGAAATCCTCGATTTTCAGACCCAGTACATAATCGAGCTTCATCCTGTTCTCGTCCAATACACCGATACGGACCAGACGACGCAACAGTGCGTTACCTGAAGGAAAAAAATATAAACTAAAACATTTTTCCAGTATATGCATGTCAACAGCCAAAAAGGACAAACGGGGACACATTTTTTGTCAATAATAGCTTTTTCCGGTAAAACGAAAAATTTATTTTTTCCCTTTTGTCCACTAATCGTGGACATCCTGAAAGTAGAAAAATTCTTCAGCAGCACATCATTTTTACTGATAAAACTGTGTCCTCAACTTTCGGCACAGACAAAATCATAAAAAGACATTGCCTGTTTCCTAGAGGGAAACTTCTCTGCCCCTATTAAAATTTCTGGCACTCTCAACAGACAATGAAGTACTGTTGGAGCGTGGCGTCAGGGCATAAAAATTAAAATCAAATATGCATCCAACACTTAATCTAATAACCATGTGTTTTACCTTCAAACAATCTCTTGGGGTCTTTTTCTTCCAAGGTAAGCAATTCACGGGCAGCCTTACGGATCTTGGCCAATGTATATTTAACCCTCCATACCTCACGTTTGTTACGAAGACCAAAAGCACCGATGATCTTCAACTCCTGATCCAAACGTGCCTTTTCATAGGGACGCCTGGGGGTGACATATGTCTTTGAATGTACCGAAGGAACCTTTCGGTTGACCATCTTGGCGAGTTTTTACTGTAAACTAAGAATTAACTGTATAAATTTCTATGGGATCATTTGACAACGTGGCGCTAATAATGTTTAAAAAATGTTTCCTCGCCATGAATCGGATAAGCTATTGTAACTTTCCGGGATTAAACGAGGTTTTTATATAGCCTTGTATGATTAGGAGCCTTTGGAAGTGTTCACAAAGCACCTTGCCCAAATTACAAGGCATAACCTCAAAACATAATTTTCATCTATAAATATATAAAGAATCCTCAACAATTTTGCCAATTATTAATCAAATTAAATGTAAATGAATAAAATATCTAAAGCAATGAATAATATTTTTTACACCAAACCAAAACTGATAAATAAAATATTAGAGAAAACACACCTCAACCAACTTGTTCAAACTCTGCGAAGAAAAGAAATGAATTATTTTCGTCGTCCACCGAGTAAACTCCGATAGAAAAGAATGGAAATAATTTTTAGCACGGCTTCAGTGTGAAAGAGCGAGAGGGACGATCTTCTCTACCGCGCAAGTCAATAATATTATATAATACATTTCCGTTTCCCACCAATTCAAATTCTCCTTCTTATCCCATTAAAATGTTTGGAAATGAACGAATATTTAGACACGTACCAATCTCGTTTTACGTCATTTTGATTTCATCAGGAAAAGTAAATTAGTTTATTTGTTTATATTTGACGTCATTCTTGGACTGAATGCAATTAAAACTGAAGAATGTTTATTCTTTAAATAGATAGACTAAAATCAACATTGTTCGTCTAGTCGGTCTTTTTGGTCTTTTATTAAATATCGTACATACACAAAGAATTAATCTATCTACAGACAAATATACTATATTTGTAATTAAGATTAATCTATATTGATATTTTACTTTTTCCCCATTCTATATTAGTTTGGTGGTGGTGGGTACACAATCAAGGTCTTGGATTGTGTCGTGCTATGCGCTCGGTATTTTCATCCTATTCTATTCAACTTGAGCGAAGAAGCGAGTTGGATTCAGTCGACTTTTACTTCTACTTGCGTAGTGAAAAAATATTTTTTTTTAAAAGTGCGCAGTAGTGTAGTAGTTATATAAAAGTAGTGTTTGGATATGGTTCGCTTCGGTCAGTTTTAGCCATGTTTACAATACGCGTTGTGCAAAATTCTTCGGTTTTACAGAGTGTATTTCGAAGAATCAGCCTAGCAAACGGAGATTTGCGAATATCAAATTCGCACTGGTCTTCTCCGCTCGTTCTTTCGAACAAAATTTTAGAGCAAGAGAAATCCTGCAATTGGCCGTCCAGAAATAGGTAAGTGTGATATTTTCTCTAGAGCTAGAGCCGCCGACATGTTTTGTTTACGTTTTGAATGTCACGTCTGCCGTCTACATAACCTTGTTTTAGAGGTTGTCATTTTCATAGAAACGTAAACATTGCATGGGAAGTGAATTGCATTCACCTGATTCAGCACTTCCTTATTTCTGTATGGCCCTATAAATTATTGCATTTCAGGTCAGGGTCTTTTGGATCAACAGCTGCTGTACTCAATTTAAGAAATATGTCAACAGAAGCAGGTTCCTCTTCCAAAAGCCCCAAGACTAACAGATTGATTTTAGAAAAATCACCATATTTGCTACAACACGCTACCAATCCTGTCGATTGGTTCCCTTGGGGCCAAGAAGCCTTCGACAAAGCAAAGGCTGAGAATAAATTGATATTCTTGTCTGTGGGATACTCCACATGTCATTGGTAAATAAAATTAATAATATATTTTTTCAACTATTTAAATATCTTTTCTTTTAGGTGTCATGTAATGGAAAAAGAATCGTTTGAAAATCCTTCTGTGGCTGAAATAATGAATAAGTATTTTGTAAATGTAAAAGTAGACAGGGAAGAAAGGCCAGACGTGGATAAACTTTACATGTCTTTTATTCAAGCTACTGTTGGGGGTGGTGGTTGGCCAATGTCGGTTTTCCTTACGCCTAGTTTAGAGCCGTTAGCGGGTGGAACATATTTTCCCCCGGAGGACAGCTACGGTCGCCCAGGATTTAAATCAGTTCTGAAGAGTATTGCGGAACAATGGAGGAAGAAGCAAACCGCTATTCTCAACTCCGGAAAACACTCGGTTGAAGTACTAAAGAAAATTTCCGAAAAAGAGCTAAGGGATTGTCAGAGGATAGATATTCCAGGTGAAGATTCATGGAAGAAATGTCTCTTACAATTGTCCAGGAGTTATGAGTCCGATTACGGTGGTTTCAGCCCAGCCCCGAAATTTCCCCAGCCTTCAAATTTTAATTTCCTGTTTCACATGTACGCGAGGAACAAAAAGGGTGAACAAGGAGTGCACTGTTTAGAGATGTGTCTGCACACACTTAAAAAAATGGCATATGGTGGCATTCACGACCATGTCAACAAGGGATTTGCGAGGTATTCCGTAGACGGCCGTTGGCATGTGCCCCACTTTGAGAAAATGCTTTACGATCAAGCCCAGTTGGCAGTTTCTTACTGCGACGCATATGTACTTACAAAAGACGAATTCTATGCTGATGTCGTACGAGATATTCTCACGTATGTCTCCAGGGACCTCAGTCACGAACTTGGAGGATTTTACGGAGCTGAGGATGCCGATTCCTATCCCTATGAAGGAGCTCCCCATAAGATGGAAGGTGCGTTTTGCGTTTGGGAATATGATGAAATCTTCAACCTGCTCGATGAAGTAACAGACGGAATATCGCACGCTGAAGTGATCGCTTACCATTACAATGTAAAGAAGGAAGGTAATGTTAATCCATCACAAGACCCACATAAGGAGCTGCAGAAGAAAAATGTTCTTGTCTGTTTCGGTTCGTATGAAAGCACCGCAAGTAAATTCGGTATCACCGTCGAAAAACTCAAAGAAATTTTGGAGAAATCTCATCAAGTCTTATACGAGGAGAGACAAAAGAGGCCAAAGCCTCATGTCGATACAAAAATAGTGACTTCGTGGAACGGTTTGATGATTTCAGGGTATGCTAAGGCCGGATTTGTGTTGAAAGACCAGACCTATATAAACAGGGCTATTCAGGCTGCCAGCTTCATCAAGAAATTCTTGTACGACGAGGAAGACAAGAGTCTGCTGAGGTGTTGCTATCGAGGGGATGACAGCCAGATTGCGCAAACGTAAGTTTTATTTAAACTATATTAACATGCAGAAGTATTCATAAAACAGATATTTCATTAAATTGTAACTTATAATGGTGATTCCAATGAGAAGACTTTCATGGTCCTTGCTATTTAATGAACCATGTTATTTCACTATGGCCTATGTACCTGAGCACTGCCAGTTACAGATTTATAATGAATTTCCTTAGCTTTAGCAGAGAATCTTTGACCTGCCCTTGTTGTTCTCGGATTAAGCTCTGTGGGAATATGCTATATGAACCCCTAGAACCACAGAGTCTAGCCCAAGAACGATAAAGGCAGGTCAAAGATTCCTAACTAAGGCTAAGAAGCATTATAGTCTCCAACTGGTGGCAACCAGTACATAGACCACCAGATTGCATAGCAATCCAAAAAAGGGTGATACCTTAAATGCAGAAACAACAGATTAATACATTCGTTGAAAGGTTTTAGATTTATTTTTCAGTTTTTGAATTAGAATTTGCATTAAAACGGCCTTGATATACATTTTTTGTAATAAAATAATCATTTTGCACGCTTTATTAACCGTTCTAAAGTAAGGCGTGACTAAATGTCGATTATTCGTTCAGTTATTGACCTAGATGCGGAACGTTCTACGTAGATGCACAACGTTTTGAATTTTAAATGTGTCAAAGCCGATTACCAGAAGGTACATGAATGTACTAATAAACGCCATTTGTTATTGATTGATTTTTAAGATCGTGTTTTGTACTCTGAACAATATACAAGGTCAAATTTGTATTTGTATTGGTTATAATTAGATAATTACCAAATTTGTTTTGTTTTTGTTCCACCTATTATCAGACAAGTTCGGAAGATAAAAACAACGATCTTGGTTTTGACTTTCAATTTTATTTTATGTTTTTCTCACACAAAAAATGTAAATATTTGTTTATATTTCAAGAGAACATAGGTATGTTATTTTACCTCAACATATTTTTTATTATTCATGAAACCATCTCTCTCCTCACAAAACACGTTAATTAATTTTTATTTTTAATTTATTGTGTACGTATTTTTCCTCGTTATTTAAAAACACTCATTAATTATGTCAGAGAGTAAATCGTATATGATGTGAAAACAAGGCTTTGCCTCAGGACGAGCTATGACATACATGAACGAAATGGTAAACAATTGACAATTTCGTGAAGTCCAAAGTAACAAGAAACATTTCACCAAACATACAGTTTTAAGTGTTTATATTATATTATAACTTGTTCATAATATATGTTAATACCCTGTACAAATGTGAACATTTTCCATTTCAAATGTTTCGATTTACGTATTATTATAACTAAATAAGTATCTTGTTGTAAATCTGTCTACAGACATTGTATTGGATATAAGTAGATATATTTGAGTAACAATTTTTTAAGGGATGATTTTTAAGCTCATTTGAAAAATTGCAGTGTTGCACATATATTTGCAAAATATTTTTTTCATGTTCAACTAATGGATACAATAAAGTGTTTTTTATTTATTGCAAAATTTATTTTTCCTTACAGTGATATTTAAATTTAAATTTGACATCAACATTAACAATAGACTATGAAAAAATATATCTGTATTTGCATTATACAACCCTTTTTTTGGAGATCTGAGGGTTGGATACCCTTATTTTAATTTCTTTTCTCCAAGTGGACCTAGGAATCATACCCTAAAAAATGATATGTGTCCCATGCTGCATACTTCATTATCAAATATGACTATTTTTATTTTCACAAGCAGTCACCAATTTCCTCTTTATGTACTGTAAATATTTTCATCATGAAGCCAATAAATTTCTTAAAAAGAAATTATTTGTGTTGCCACTAAATATCCTAAATGTGGCAACTTATTAACATGATCATTTTTGCAATTGTTAGGAATCACTATTTAAACTAACTGTACGTGAAAATCACTATAAAAGATTTTGATATTTGAGAAAAATAATGAATTATATTTACAACGAAATGAAAACTGTTGCTCTGTTAATACAGAGTGTGGAAATGTCTCTTAAGATGATTTTTCAAATGAGTGTAGAGTGTAATAATAACGCTTTAAACTTACTAAATCTCTGTGCGTCTCTATGACTTCGGATGTAATTTTCTTTAGATAGTACTAGTATAATCAGCGCTGCGAACCAACAAGGCTCATGGCTTGGTTGTACATTTTTTTCCATTCCTTTTTGTTTTCTACATTTCTCCTCCAGTCCCCTGTTCCCATTTCATCCAAGCTCTTTCCACTGCTTGTAGTCATTTGGTCTGAGGTCTGCCCCTTCTTCTCCTCCCCGTTATACCTCCTGTCAGTACTTCTCTCCTTGGTCTCTCTCCTTCCAGCCTTCTTACGTGTCCCAGCCACCTCAATCTTTGTGCTCTAGCCACGTTTGTTATTAATGGCTCCCTGTATATTGTCATAGTTCCTTGTTTGTGCTTCTCAGCCATACCTCTCCTTTCTTTCCTCCATATATTTTTCTCAATACTTTTCTCTCAGATATTTCCAAATAGTATTTTTCTTTTGTATTCAATTTCCATGCTTCGCTCCCATAAACAACTATTGGTCTTATTATTGTCTTATATATTCTTTTCTTGACATTTTGTTCCTTTTGCAGTCCTTTCCTCTATTTCATGTTTTTCTCCTCCATTATCAGTTATCGCCACTCCTAGATAATTAAATTTTGTCACCTTCTCGAAATTATAGTGCATTTCTCCTGATATAAACGTAAGTCCTCTGTTTCTCCTTTCTGCTGTTTTCTTTTCTAGTACCATATACTTCGTTTTCTTTTCGTTTATAAGTAACCCTTTGTCCCTAGCTGCTTTTTCTACCTTTTTTATGGCATTTATTAAATTGCTCTCTGTCCTCGTCAGAATCACATCATCAGCATAAGCTAACACTTGACATGGCCGATTATATACTGTTCCCTTGGTTGGTATTTCACTTTTTCTTACTGCAGAATCTATAATAGAACTATATTGTATAAAGCTGTAGACGGAGGGTCTCCCTGTCGCAATCCTCTCATTATTTCGAATTTTTCAGNGTCTCTCTCCTTCCAGCCTTCTTACGTGTCCCAGCCACCTCAATCTTTGTGCTCTATCCACATTTGTTATTAATGGCTCCCTGTATATTGTCATAGTTCCTTGTTTGTGCTTCTCAGCCATACCTCTCCTTTCTTTCATCCATATATTTTTCTCAATACTTTTCTCTCAGATATTTCCAAATAGTATTTTTCTTTTGTATTCAGTTTCCATGCTTCGCTCCCATAAACAACTATTGGTCTTATTATTGTCTTATATATTCTTTTCTTGACATTTTGTTCCTTTTGCAGTCCTTTCCTCTATTTCATGTTTTTCTCCTCCATTATCAGTTATCGCCACTCCTAGATAATTAAATTTTGTCACCTTCAAGAAATTATAGTGCATTTCTCCTGATATAAACGTAAATCCTCTGTTTCTCCTTTCTGCTGTTTTCTTTTCTAGTACCATTTACTTCATTTTCTTTTCGTTTATAAGTAACCCTTTGTCCCTAGCTGCTTTTTCTACCTTTTTTTATGGCATTTATTAAATTGCTCTGTCCTCGTCAGAATCACATTATCAGCATAAGCTAACACTTGACATGGCCGATTATATACTGTTCCCTTGGTTGGTATTTCACTTTTTCTTACTGCAGAATCTATAATAGAACTATATTGAATAAAGCTGTAGACGGAGGGTCTCCCTGTCGCAATCCTCTCATTATTTCGAATTTTTCAGATGTTTGACCATTAATTTTCTTTAGATATGTAAATAAAGAAACGTATATAAGTTTTCTCGGATTGTCAGTTCTTTCTGGAATAACAATATCGGCGGTCACGTATGTGTCTAGCTTCACTGCAGAGGCTTTAAATTGTTTTTGTTTGGCTAATCACGTAGTATCTTCTTTATTATTAATAAAATAATTATTTCTTTAGTTATAACACACTTATGTTCCATGCAGATTTTCCTATCTACAAATAATTTAGTTTTTTCTTTCGATCTTTCTTATATTAAAAAAATCACACTGCTGAAAAAAAGTTTGTTCAAGTTATTTTTACTGTTTTAAACATATTACCAAAGTCAATTATCATTGCAAGTAGTGGTTAATCATCAAAAATAACCATAATGACTTGTTACATACGAAAATACATTGAAATCATTGTTTATAATCCTCAATAATTTAAGTAGGTACTTCCTTGATTTTCTTTAGTACTCAAAGTGATTAGCCAATATATTTGAAACATAGTAGTCATAGTTTAAGAAAATTAGATGTGCTAGATTAAAATAAGTCCTAGATATTTAGGAGCTAAATGTGAATGCCTTTTGTCTTTATAGAGGTATAGATTTAAACTTTGTGCACAGTAGTAGGTAAAACTTGCTCTAAAGTAGTTCTCCTCCACATTTCCAGCAGTGTGTGTATGCGCTCCTGATTGCCTGCTTGTGCAAATAGCCGCTCTAGCTGGCAAGCAAATTATCGCAACTTTAGTTTGAAATGTTAAAGAGACTCTCTACCAATGTCTCGCCAAAGGAAGCTTCGTAAAATAAATTTGTGAAAGCTGTAGAAAGTTCTAGCAACAAATTCAGCGATTTACTTGCAAGTGTCTACACTATGCACCAGAGATGTACAATTTACTCACGGACTTTGCTTATTATATTGTTTATTTTCCAGATTTGCTATCAAAACTTCTAAAATAATAATTTTTTAGTTTTCATTGAGACTAAACAATTTTTTTTACCTTCTTATCTCTAATATTTGTGTGTTAAGTTATAAATATGTGGAATTCATATACAACACTTTGTTGGTAATAGATCATAATCTAATTATAATTAATATTTCTGCACTGGGAATACTTCTGCACATTTCTATATGTAGTAACAACATAATAATTTAGAATAGCTCTATATATGTTTTTTTTTATTCTTTTGTAGGCCCAACCCGATTGTAGGCTTCTTAGACGATTATGCTTTCCTGATCAGAGGCCTTTTAGACCTGTACGAAGCATCTCTTGATGCCGATTGGTTACAGTGGGCTGAAACTTTACAGGAGCAGCAGGATGCAAAATTCTGGGATGCCAAAGGCGCTGGTTACTTTACCAGCCCTGAGGGAGACGCCTCTATCTTGATTCGTGGAAAGGAAGGTAAGTCTGGCAAGCGTTTATAAATTTCAAATTGTTTTTGATATAATAGCATTGAATTTACAGATTTTTTTTTTAATATTTTCATAGGAAAATTTGTAAAATTTAAAAAGACATGGCTCTGGTCAGATGGGTTATTTGCACTGTAAATTGTATTTAATGTTTTATTAATTATTATTTGTATTTATTTAGTATTTTCTTTCTCAGTTTTTGAAATCATCTAATTTTTGCACTCGAAACTGCAGTGAGGGCTGATGGAACTTACAGTGATTACAATTTGCTAGTGACATAAGTGGCTCGTATCACTTTTTAGCGGAGAATTTTTATGCTTATATAGAGAACTTTCATGACTAAACAATTTCAAACAAAATTTATAAAATATAAAATTTAAATAGATCTTGCCTCCCATGAGATCCTAAAAAGGCCTGCTCTTTAATTTTCTCGTTAAAAATTTTTTCATCATGAACTTCTTTTGTGGATCTCTTAAAAATTATTACATATGTCTCATTTGATAATAGTAATAATTTCTATTTTGATAAATACAATTTTAATTTTTATTAGCCCACCACTGCTAAATTGTATTTGTATTATTTAAAGTATATTTGTAGTATTTTATTTATTTTTTATTATTAGGTATTTATTTACTGTCTACTTACTGTCTTATTATTTTTTGAAGTACGAAATAGTTCATTTTATTTGTATTTTGTTAGTTGAATTGTTCTATTTTTGCCTGGCTCGACGATAATTCTTTTTAATCCTTTACATGCTTTCACAAAACATTATCCCCATTCGTCATTAGCGGTAATAGGCTTATCTTTAAAAATTCAACATGGTAAAATGGACCCGCATTATGTTAATGTATTGCATCATGTAATTAATGGATCAGACACTTCTTGCGTAACGACTGTTTACATTTCGAATGCAGGTAAATAGAAATGACCTAGAAACGCACCTAGGTTGGTCGTTCGTATCAGTATGTGACTAGATTATGTATTTTAAACATGTCGTATATGGTGAAAGTTGCCGTGTATATCTTGAAGTTGTTTTAAATACTTATTAAGTATGCATGCATTGAATTTCATGTTGTTGCAAGTTGAAATTTAGCAAAATTTATTTTCAAAATATTTCGAAAGTTTTCAAATTTATTTTGATTGGTGAAGTAATATTTTTAAGGAAATATTAGGTATTGTGTTGTTGCTAGACTGTTTTTCTTGGGAGGTTTTTTCTTTTGTAAAAAAATGCCTTAGACAATTTTGAGGAGGTTTTCCTAAAAATATTTTTAGTTATAGTTTAGTTTGGTATGGACGTTATTGCATTTTTGAATTTGTTGTTCAATTTTAATATGACTTTATGTAATACATTTCAGTTCTAGAATGTTTTTGAATAGAGGTATTCAAATGTTTTTGCTAAAAGTTTAGATTTTGGTGTTGTCTTCGTAAATTTCAATTATCTTCTGAAGTGAGGAAATATACAAAGTCATGGTTTTTACTGTTCACTCCAATTCATCTTTTTTTTTATTATCTGAAGCCTTTTGTTCTTGTGAGGAACCTTTTGTGCCTTGCTTTTGAATATTTCCCTTATAAGTGCAAATCTCTTGTGCAAGTCAAAAAAACAGGACTCTTTATTTTTCATTTAAAAAGTCAAAGTTGGGTATTGCCAGGGCAAAGTAAACACCATGTATAAGTCAAAATAATTGGCAGAAGCACTATCAAAATTGCAGCAACTTTTGTCCAAGACGATGTCTTTTTCTAAAATTAATAAATTAGTTATACAATGACTGGAACACCCTGTATGCTGTATACAGTGTATCCATTTTAATGCCCCTGCTACCATAGCATTCTCCTTGGTTAAAGAGAACAACTTCATTCTGGAAATGTAATTTATAAACAGTGGCGGCTGGTGCGGGAGAAAATTAGAAATTTAAGTAGTAAAAAAATTAAACTTAAAATTTAGGTTACAATGTTATCTACATAATTAAATAGATTAGCCTTAGTTAAATTTGGAATATGCAGTCAATTTAACTCGACTTGCAAAATTTGTTTGCAAAACTCTGAATACGTGGCTCTTCATAGCTCGTCTCTACATCCGTAAAGTGTTTACAGCGGTGGTCATGGTTACCGTCGCGCAGCAGTGAAAGACGGAGTGGGAGTAGCGCATATTTACTATGCACTTTGGGTTCTGTTTAGTCCGACCATAACCAAATATCTATTCACCTCTTTTTTTCTTAATAAACATAATTTGTTCAGGTGTGGTGGTATAAAATTTTATTACTTACATATTGTTTCCTCTGTGTTTTTTAAAAATTGTAGAAGTTGTAAATTGATTGTAGCACTTGCAATGCTATCTATTATAAAATCAATGGTGAGAGAAATAGCAAACTTTAATGAAAAAGTAATTGAAAAGTTTATTTCGTACAAAAGCAGAAGAATGGACTTTCACTATAAAAAATAATGTCGCTTACATTTTCTCTATATTTCAGTAGTATTTGAAATAAAAGTACCCAATCATATTTGATTTTTTTTTCAATATTTTGTATCCAAATTTTTCCACCCTCCTTGTTATGGATGTCTAGAGCCGCCACTGCTTTTTCACATTAATTGAAGCCTTTTGAAGTCCTCTATAGAACCTTAAATTTATTTACGCCTCAAATGTCGTGGTATTAAGTTACGATTTTTTAAAAATTGTTTTTTTTTTGTCATTAAAATTTCAATATCTACTGCGTCAAGAGTTAATTTTTCATAAAATTTTAGGGAGATGACTCAGGAGATACTTAGCTAGGTTTATTTCTGACTAAAATATATCTAAGACAAAAATATTATATGTATATGTAGGGAATTCAAAAATAGTGTATGAATATCTATAATATTTTTTTAGCAAGTTTATGAATTGCTAATTTGTAACAAAACTGTAAAAGCTCGGGACACACTCTATTTTTTACTGTTTTATAAACGTATTAAGTTAATTAAAATAAATTCTAAAATATTTTTCCTAAAAAAAGTCCTATCATCTTTGATACCAAAAATTTAGGTTGGTTAGCAAAGAACATTTTTTTAGTTGATAGGATTTTTTTTAGGAAAAAGTTTTTTGAATTTATTTGAATTAGCTTAAAATATATAATTTTAAAAACACTATATTTAATAATGCATGTGCTTTCGGCATTGTTTGTCTAGTTGCTTTAATAATTTTTCACTTTTGTTATTTTTTTTTATTATTTACATTACTGTAGATTTATTATAATTTCTACATAGATTTATTACAAATGTTTCATTACTTGTATAGGTAGTCACATTTATTATTTTTATATGAAACAGTACACTCTGTGCAGTTTTCTCCTTAGCCTTTCCATTTAAACATTATTCTTAGTATCGGGAAGATAAAAAATTACGTCATTGACACAACGTTTAAATAACATTCCTTATATTTAAGCCAGTTGTTATAAATATTACCCAATTAAAAAATTATAAATAACTTTATTACAGATAAGGCTTAGTTGAATATATAATATTATGTTAATCTTATTTAATTATCTCCTGATGATGTCCGAAACGTGGATGGGGTACAGTACGTGTTTTATCAAAATAATAACAATTAAATAATGAACTACGTAGTTTTAGGATCTCTTGTTTTTTTCTCTTTATTTTGCTGTTTTCGTGGAAATTTCCGACGAGATTTGTATTTCTGGGTCGGTCACGATTTATGCCCTTAAAGTTCTACAGTTCAGGGACCACACTTATAAATTTGGACAATTTTAAACCACCTAAATTACTCCGTTACGCCTCCTCTTAACCGTAATAGATTTCCAATAAAGTCACGTTTAGAGTAAAGAACGGTCGCCCTGGGATCACTTTAATAATAAACAACTTCTGGAAGTTCTACGGACCGGACCTTCTTTTATTTCTTATTCCTGCGTTCGCCTATTCGCTACCCTGAAAATATAGACGCATGGGAAGAAGGGAATAAATTTCGTAGTTAAAATAAAAACTGGTCCTTTTCTACTTTAGTATCACGAAAATAGTTACTATTAGGCCAGGAAAAAGAGCTGGTAACCTAATTTATCACTATAGATGCTAAATATTATGTACATATTAATTTCCACAGTCATAAAAATGGGGGGAGATTGTTTATAGGGTGGTTAATTGTATAATTTTTACGTAAATTCACGTTTTTCGCTTATAACTTTTTTTCGTTCATTTCCACGAGAAAACAGTAAAGTACTTTATTTTTCATCTTCAAATGACCTACAAAATTAGCCCTCGAGTGTCAAGAAATATTGATTAGATCAAAAGTTATAAACAGAAGAATTTTATTTATGACTTTTGAATGAAACATTTATAAACTGCGTTATTATTACCAGAACGTTTCCTCTCATTCTTTATCACTGTCTAATAACTCACACGAAATCTGGAATATTTAGCATCTATAATGATAAATTCAGCTTGCCGAAACAAAAAGTCGCGTCCAACTCTATATTTCCTGGCCTATATGTGATACTAGAAAAGTCGAATTTATTATATCAATCAATCAATCTCGATCAATAACAAAAAAAACATGAAAGACTGCCATAAAATGTAACAAGAATTGAGTGATTCTAAACCGAATTCATCCATGTAGAAAAATAAACGACTTCAGTTGTTAAACATTTGTTCACTAATAATTTTCACAGTAAAAGACACACGTTTCCGTGATTGAATTAGTAATTTTTCTGTTTACTACAAAAGAAACGAACAAAAAAGCGAATGACATGCCATTTACGACCACAACTATTGACCACTTTTTATGTAGTACGTAAGTCGGGGACGATTCCAGAAGTTCCCAATAAGTTTCAACTATTTGATTGTTGAAAATGCTTATTTTGTTAATACATACCTACCATTAAAAAAACCCTCTCCATGTTTGTAAATTCCCTGAACAAATGATCGTATGTTTCATCTGTGATAATATCCTGCGAACAGATTTCGGATTTCGTCCTTGATTTTCACTAATTTTTCAAGTACCAACCCGAG